TTGTAAAATTCTTTTCTTCGCATTTCACTCATATCCTGTCTCTCTCCCTCCACTAACTCCCAACGGGCACAGCAGATGGCAGCAGGTTTCTTCCTGTCAAAAGAGAGTTTTGCCTTCCCACTGTCGCCAAGTGCTCAAAAGGGGTATTGTCTGATTGGTGGGGGTTTCTCTCTATTGTTGTAGGTCTGTCCTTGAAATATAAAGTTATATAAATAAAACTGTATTGAATTGAACCCTCTATAATAGGGATGTTATGGAACACATGGGAATCAATTTGATACTTAGTGTGTGTGTGTGGGCGGGGGGGGAGGGGGGCGCCAGAGGGAGTGTTCGCCCGGGGGCCAAACAGGCTAGGACCGCCACTGAGTACAGACACGTGTTTATAAATGTAGGGAGTAAAAGTAAAAGGTTTTCATTAAAAAAACTACTCAAAGTACAGATGCCTGGAAATTGTACTTAAGCACAGTAACAAAGTATGGAAGTACAAATACTTCGTTCCTTCATATTTACACCTCTGCTTGAGACCCGTTTGTCTGTGATAAATGGTGCCGACTCACTCAGCTGGCAGAAGCATTTTAGTTCTCTCTGACAGAGGACACTGGCGATGGAAGACAGGAAGACCCACAGAGTACTCGTGGGTGCAGTGCAGGGGCTGGTGTGACAGAGGATGCTGTGGGCGGATGAGCCGCTGTAGCGACTCCTAAAGGAGCAGTAGCAACAGCCGAAGAGGGAGGGGGAAAAGGAGGAGGCTCCTCCTCCCTCCGTTGATACGTCAGCAGCGGGATTGCGGGGTGTTTCCGGAGCTCCTCTCTCGCGTTCACTCTTCTCCGGTTCAGGATCCAACCGGTCACGTCTTCGCGGAGCGCCTTTGAAACGAAGCTACGAGGATTCGCTGTGTGGTGGACTTGTCCCAGGATGACTGCGGGAACAGGCATGGAAAGACTGGCAGGTGAGGCATGTTCATCATTGTCCACCAGCAGAAGCGCGCTGGCTGACCCCAGAGCTGCGCCGACAGCCGCCGTGTGTGCCGGGAGCGCACACGGCGGCTGTCGGCTTAGTCCTCCTCTGGGATTCCGGCTCCTCCTCGTTCTCTAGAGACAAAGGCTTGTGTGTGCGCGCGTGACTGTGACCTTTTTGTGTGGAATGTGCGAGTCTTCAAAGTAAATAAGAGCTTTTATTGGGGAAGTCACAGTTGACACTAGTTTGTGCTTTGATATAAACATAGTTTGTTTGATTCTGTTGTCGTTACTTTGTCTGTAGCACTGCTTCAGAGGGCCAACTGTGAGACATGATACTAAGTGCGCAGAAACCAGAACAGGTAGTGCAGGATTCCTCCGGTTTCCCTTCCCGAGCCTGGTTTTTCCAGCTCTGTTTTGGGCACAGCTGGAAAAGACTGGAAATAGAAACTGCACTGGTGTTGCTGAAGATGCTCACGGAGGCAGGGCCGTTTGTTAAACGCTGACTCGAGTTTTCATCTGTTCTTTTGTCTTCAGGTCCTCAGTGACTGCAGCCAGGCAGCCTGCCCTCCCCCGTAACCTTTGAAGTGAGGCCAGGGTGTGAAGTATTTTCCAACCAAGTAAACTCTTCAAACACCTTCAGAGCCCCCTGACACACACTCTCGCTGCCAAGGATGCAGAAAGCAAGCTGACCCTGGACACAAGTAAAAAGCAGAATAGTAACAAGCCAGAGGAGATAACCAGATCTGCTTTATTCATTAAGAGCGGCCGCTCCATCACAGGGCACAAACATGGGGAACCAGCTAACAGGCACGGCCCCTAACAGCCCACTCCTCCCCAACTTTCAGTCGCTGCATGTGGTGGTGATTGGTTTGGACTCTGCAGGGAAGACCTCCCTGCTCTACAGACTCAAGCTGAGGGAGTTTGTTGAGACCAGCCCCACCAAGGGATTCAACATGGAAAGGATTAAAGTGCAAATCGGACACTCCAAAGCCAACACCACAACTTTCCAAGTGTGGGACGTTGGTGGTCAGGAAAAGCTGAGGCCCCTCTGGAAGTCGTACACTCGGAGGATGGACGGGCTGGTGTTCGTGGTGGACGCAGCGGAGGTGGAGCGCATGGAGGAGGCCAAGGTGGAGCTCCACCGGATCACCCGGTCAGCTGAAAACCAGGGGATTCCTGTGCTGGTTCTGGCAAACAAACAAGACCTGGATGGAGCGCTGTCATCTACAGAGGTAATTATCAAATATGAATGGCCGGCATTATTATTGGGCACAGCAACTACTTCTTATTGTTCTTTTTAGCTCTGTGCTGGGGCTGGAGGTATAGTCACTCCACACTTGCAGTACACTTCCACCCATCAGTTTGCGTGGGGACTTCCTTCGTAGCATGTTAGAGTAATGCTCTGTGTGAAAGGCTGGTTAGATGTGTCGCTGTCCTCGGCTGTGCTGAGCTCACAGAGGTGGCAGAGTAGAGCTGGGAGCGTAGGCAGTGTCGGGCCAAGGCAGAAGTCACCGGGTGGGCGAGTGCTTCTCAGTGCTGGAGCAGCAGCTGATTATGTATTTGTATTGTTCTGGGCCGGCCTACAGAGCGCAACACGAGAAAGATGGGAACGTCCAACGCTGCCAACAACTGAATATTATATTTATGGTTAGAGAAAGGAAATGTCGGGGTGGGAGTGATCAAGCCTCCGACCTGTCTCTAACCTAAACACCCTACAGCTGCCAGGTCAGTCAACAAAGGTCTATGAAGTATATACAAAAACAACGAGTCTAGCTCCTCTAGCCACAGAAACCTCACCACACACAGTACACAACTTAATACAAAGTACAGGGTTAAACGTATTTGGAAGCAGGAAGTAGGCAGGGCCATGCCAGTCTTGATGTGTCCCAGTTTATAGCCAGCCCCATTCAGTCCTCCAGCCGTCAGCCTCCACCTGGAACTTGCATTAGCAAAAACAGGAGAGAAAAAGAACACCACCACTCTCAGGCTGGAGGAGCAAAAACAGCACACAAAATGATGACATGGGTCATAACAGTTTGTGTTTCAGCCTCGCTGAGCCCTCAGAGGACAGACGCACATACATTGTGATGTTTGTTATTAAAAGAATACATGGATGTGCACATTTGAGGCTACCCTGCCAGCACAAACACAGTGTAGCTGTGGGAGGCACTGAGTGGGCTGGAGCAACAGGTTTGCATGTAGCAGGAGTTCAGCATGATGTGGGTGCATCATGTGCAGGAAGTTCCAGTTCTGTGGATGAACACATTATTTTCTTCGCCCTACACCTGAGCCAGCAGAGATGGCAACAGCACAGAGCTGTTTGATGGTGTCACACATGAAGCGACAGATGTGCCGTCGCTGCAGGGTGACCTCCGGAAACTGCAGCATCAGCACAACTTTAAAGTGAAAAAATGTTGTTTTTGTTGGTCTGTCCTTTTGTTTAGAGGATAGTGCGGTTAATGGTGTGTGCTTTGTTTAGCCTCATCACTCAGAGTTCGTAGCTGATTGCTTCCTATGACGCGGTTGGGACTAACCTCACTTTTCTCGTTTAAGGTGGAAAAGGTGCTGGGCCTCCACGAGCTGAGCTCCTCCACCCTGCACCACACGGAGGGCTGCTCAGCACTGAATGGTCAGGGTCTGCAGCCCGGCCTGGAGAAACTCTATGAGATGATTGTGAAGAGGAAGAGGATGCTCCGACAAAGCAAGAAGAAAAGCTGATGGAAATAAAGGGGTGCAGGCCAATTTGTGAGCACTTGTGTCTGTGACACTCGGGGAACTTGGTGAATGGGGAAAACCAGAAAGAAGCTGGTCAGTGTAGACTCTGTTCCTGGAGACATTTGGACCTTTGAAACTGCTTCTCATTGTCTTTAACTCTCAGAGGACCACAGAGCTCTGCGGAGGGAGCGACCGCGCTGCTGGCAAACACTCACTGAAGCACGCACTGTAACGTCGAAGGATGTTCGGTTACTGGTGCAGACGGCCCGTGTTACACCCGATCACCTAAATCTTCACCCTGCCTCAGACTGAGCAACACTTCTGTGCACCCACAGGAACTTCCTGTGTTTGAATCTGCCCGAGCATATCGCTGTCACTCTCACCGGGCTTTGCTCCTCACAGCTGGATGTTTCAGGATTGTTAAGTTCAGACAAGTTGTTTTTTACAATGGCTTCATACTGTTTTGTAAAATATGAATAAATTGAGCAACGTTAGCATTGTTTCCCTGAGAACATTGTTTTATTCATCGTGCCCTGGGAGCCTGTCCCAGCTGCCACAGAAGCGGGGTACACCTGGACGGGTCACCAGTTCACCCAACCCCACTAACCTCAGTAGTATCCATGCAGACGCGGGAGTCTGCTGATGTTGTTAGCCTGACCCTAACACATGTCTGCATCTCCTCAGTGAATATTAAGATGTTTATTTAATGCCATATTAATTTAATGATGTTCTGTTTTTGGTCTTGTAATTATTTAAATCAGGCTCATGGTTTGCTGAAGTCTTTCTCGGCTGTCACACCCTGCACAGCTCGATATGTATAAACTTAATTCTCCTGAAGTTGTGTAAAATGAGTTGCATGAAAACACCAACGCGATGCGCACACAGCGGCGGTGTGGTGCCATCTTTGAGCTTTACAGTACTGCAGATTGAACACACACGTGTGATTTGGTACTCTATAAATAAAGCTGAGTTGAACTGAATCCTAATCAAACTTGTGCTTTTTGCTGTGATGGATGGACTCGGTGTTTTACGATTCTGTTGGCAGCCTCTGAAATTCACGCAGCGAAGCTTCACACAGGAATGTGAAACACACCCACATAGCTGTCTAAATACCAAACACTCATTCCTGTTTAACTCCATTATTCTGGCTCTGATTTCAAGACCAGTGAATACATACGAGCACGTCTGAATGGAAGCCAGGGACTCACCATATATACTGTGCATGTCTTTGGACTGTGGGAAGGAACCCATGCAGACTCCACCCAGGAAGGCCCCAGCTAGGGATGGTTAGCAGCAGATCCTCTGGGTGTGAATGACCACGAGTTATTATCATCACTGATGAATTACTAACAATAGTCCATACAGATATTCCAAAGTGGAAAGGCATTCTTCAGCCATCCCACGAGGAGTTTAGACAAAGCTTAACCCCCCCTGGTATTAAAAGCCTGCTGTGCCCACTCAATCGGCTCCTCAGTCAATGCAGTTATCCTGATTGGAGGCTCCCCCCTGCTGCACCTCAGGAGCAAAAAGTAAATGGCATGATTCATGAAGTATGCGTGTGCACAGGGCGTGTGTGACTTCAGGCGTGACTTGCAATGTTAATCCACAGGTTGAAAAAGGAAATGCTATTCAAAGAAATCACCTCAGTGTTACAAGCTCTTCTTGAATGTGAAACATGAGGAGGATGTGCATACTTCAGGCTACTGATCGAACTGCATGCCCATGGTGAGTCAGCTTATCTTACAAGGCTGCTCGCACCTTCTTTGGCATCTTTATTGAACAAATAAAGTGAGCTGCTGCTTGGGTATCAAATAATGGATTTGGTTTGTAGCTGGCACAGGGACCCGGTCGTTTCCTGGTTCAAACCTTGTTATCTGCTGTGTGCAGTTTGCATGTCCTCCTTTGCCTGCGTGGGTTTCCTCCATGCACTCCAACTTCCCAAAGTGAACGTGAATTTCAAATGAAATTCGAACCCCCAGCCCCTGGCATTTAAATCCCTGATCAAACCTGCTGTGCCCACTCAATCAGAATTTCAAATGAAATTCACGTTGGCTTATCTGGAGGTTTTGTTAGCTGAACACATGCACACAAGATGACTTCTTGTGTACATATGACAGAAACTGGTACACCAGCACTCCCATTCTATGGTTTGCATTCCCTGCTGCCAGCTGTCTGTGTACACAGTCATAGCAGGAAGAGCAGCTGCACTGACGTAAACGTGCTGGTCCACACCCAGACATCAGGTGTCACAAACAGGCTGGTCTAGATACCTGGCACATTCCCTGCAGGCAATGCAACCATGACAAACACTGCAGCTGCACTAGTGTTGCTACTGTTTCACGGGCAGGGAGACAAGTCAACACTTAGATGAAGAATTGGATACATTAAAGCCCGAGGATCACAGCATCGGGTTTCTTCGCAGACAGACAATAACAAACAAACACACATAAAAATGCTGCCATCTATATGCAAGACCCACCTCAGCTGTCCATCTGCATCTAAAGGTCAAAGGTCACTCTTTGAGGATGCCAGTATTCACATTTTGGACAGAGAAGACAGATGGTTTCAAAGAGCATCAGTGGCTGTATCCCAATTCAGGGTCTGCAGCCTTACCGGTCCTCAAGGACCGCACTCAAAGAGGCTGGAAGTGCGAGGCTTGTAGGCTTGTGAGATGGGACGGTCTAGCTTCCGTCGTGCCGCCCAGGTTGCCTAGCAACCATGATACTAACAGCTGGAAACGTTTCATACAGCTTTGTTTGACAGAAATGAAGGAGAACATATTTTGTACATTTGTTTCTACATGAGCTGTGATGTGATTTAGTATCTGAGGCTGAGACCACAGGACTGTAAACATGATTGTTGGGCTTCACTTCTGTGCTGAACAGTCGTTTAAGATCAGTTAGTAAATAACAATTAGCTGATGTTGTTCATGAGACTAAAGTCCTCTCACTGTGGTGATGTAAATATAATATGGACAATATTAAAGTTACTATATTAATCATTATCAGTTATTACAGCAGTGAGTTTGAACTCTGTGTCAAATACTGAGCCTCAGTAAAGATTTAATTTATCATTTATATTTCCTATCACCTTAAATCTTCACTTAAAGACAAGTATCTGTGACAGTGTGTATACAGATGTATCATATATAAGAGACAAATATTGTTCGTTTAATATGTTG